TAGGCCTCGATGGACCCGTGTCTGCAAATAAGCGAAAGCGTCATTCAAAATTCAATCTTTCCCTGTATATGAATCATCCACCTGTTTATTCCATCCAGCTGTTCCATCACAAAGCTCCACTGCTGATGCAAATGAACAGAAAAAGGAAAATTTGTAGCGACTTGTAATTTGAATGTTGGGATATTTAGTTGGCTCATGGGGGTCTCGTAATGAATTGATGGGAAATTGTTTTTAAGCAATACAAAGGCTGATTTAGTGTGAATGCGACACCATTTTAGACGCATATTTGTCCACAAAAAGAAAAGAAAAAATAAGGGACAAAGATAGTGGTGGATGGAATGGACAGATTACTGTAAATCATTTCTCAATAAAGCTTATGATAATAAATTCAATATTTACAGTGGGGCAAAAAAGTAGTTTAGTCAGCGATCAATTGTTAAATAATGAGAGATTCCTGTGATTTTCCTCATATACCTCCACTATGAGAGACAAAAAGTGAGATAAGTGTGATATCACTAAAGTCTATCTTATCTTAAACAAAATCCAGTATCATATTGTCAGATTTTTAAAGGATTTATTTGCAAAGGATGGTGGAGAATATTTATACACACATGAACAACCATGTAAATGTCAAAATGTTGTCTGGTTTTTTGTATTAGTTTATATGTTTGTACTATAGAGTGTTTGGGCTTGTTTTGTATGTTTAAATTTTCACCAACAAATACTTGAAAAATACAGTAACCTGTTGACTCATAAGATTATACAGTATATTCTTATATCAATAAAAGGTTTAATAAATTGCAAGTCACTGACCTCACAAAGCAGGACAATGTAGCGAGACATTTTCCACCTGGCCAAACTGTTTCTGAAGCTTTTGTCCAATTTTATAGAGGTATTCTGTGTGATTAGGGCTGATGGCACAATCTCTAAAGCTCAATATTTAATCATATTTCAATTCAAATCACGTGTTCCAGCTCCTGCACTATTATTATACCAGCTCAGGCTGCGAAGTCACGGAGATGAAACCTCTCATTCTACAGTCGATCTTTGAAGACGGCTTGTGTGTGTGTGTGCGTGTATAAGGACAGTGACAGACACGTGGGCCAGTTATTCAGCCCATCTCTTTGAAGCACATCACCTTTAGACAGTAGCATAAAGATGATGTTTGCAACTTCAAATGTTCCAATTTTCAAAAGAATATATCCCTTTGACCCCATGACCATGTGGTGTCATCGAGTGCTTTTCCTAATACTTAATATAAAGTCCCTTGAACAAAACTTCTCCAGTAAGATTTTCTGGAGAATAATTAGACTATTGGTGGGTCTCAGCTGTCTCTTAAGGATTCTTAAATAACTGCATCCAATCAGGAACCTGTGGGGGCGGGCGTACTTGCATTCAGAAAATGTCCATTGTCACAATTTAAAAAGTAACAGATCTTGACTTTAAAGATGAAATATGCATTATTTTTTGCCATTCAAAATATAATAATGAAATATTATGTTACTATATTATAATGAAACTAGATAAAACGTGAAGATTATTGATTGATTGATGTTTTAGGAGATTTTAAATAGAAGGGGCGGAGCTACATGTTTGTGCCAGCAGCTCCTGATAAAAGCATGGATAGATCTAAAAACATTTGGTTACATGGTTCAAACCAACTGCATCCAAAATATCTTCTGTAACCATAATATAACAATCTACATTTAGCATTCTGCATTTGGCCTCTCCTTTGTCAAAAAACTCAACACAAGAAAACACATTCTTCTCACAATCTCAATTTATTTCAAAATGCATTTCCAGACAACACAAGAACGCTCTGCTCTGGAGGTGGTGCACATAAATGACCCAGCACCATGGGCCTGCTGCCACACACCTCGGAAAGGAGAATCCCCTGCAGCACTGGACTTGTAAACACCAGTTTCACAACATTGGAAACGTCAAAATAAGTTTGAAATTGCAGTAGCATATAAATAGAAACGAACATGCTAACAAACTCATACATCAATGTTACTCTTAAGAGATCATTTAAAGTGCATCAGATCAGTGTGGCAAAAGCAGAGAGCTGCTTTTGACATTTGCATAATATAGTTTCATAGCGGCTTCTGGGGTTTTGAGTGGTACGGTTCTGAAAGCCACCCTGGAGGACATTCAGGGCAGATGCAGAGAAGTGGACGACGTGTGCCTCCAGGAAGTACAACTACTGGCCAGGAAATGTGTGCCTTGTTAGTCGTTTTCACTAATAGGCTTTTTTTTTTTTTTTTTTTTTTTTTTTTTACAGATTATTGATGTTTATTTCTGTGTCTGGGGCATGGTCACAGCAGCATGGACACTCGTGAGGACCCAGATCTCAGCATCATTAAAGGCCACTTTAATGATGATACTTTATGACCTTTGAGCTGCACGGACATCAAAGGCTAACCCCAGACCCACCTCAAACTATCCAGACAAGAGTCAAGCCCTGATCTAACAAGACGGACCAATTTATGAAACTTCTGGACATATTTTTTATCATTATTCAAATACATCTTTCAACTTTCAACAATAAGACAAGAACTAGTTGGGGGCTGAAAGAATATAAGTGTGTGGTTTTAAAAAAATTATAATTTAGTGTTATGGACAATTTACTTTTATTTGACGTGAGTTTGGATATTCTTTTCTGGTAGATTTGGAGTGAACAAAAATAGGGCCAAATATAAAGAAGAGAGAAATTGTAGACTGATAGTTCTACATCAAATATATAAAAAAAGATTGGCCAATTTAACTTCTTATTACATGTTGGGCTAAAAATGAATATTGTATATATATATATTAAATTATATGGCTGTTTTCTGACCCTAACCCTAGACTTTAAAATTATGCCATAGTAGCCCATTACCATCAAAGCTACAAGATAATAATGGAAATTGGGCTACTAAAAATGGTGTTGATAAACTTGCCTGAGCAAATAATAATTAAAAAAAATGAACAGTTGTGGTCCTGAGAAGTCGGTCTGCTCTTGTCTCATAACGATGGTTGAACATTGCTGATCCTCCTTTTTTGATATCTTTCTTGCTCTTGTTACAATTAGCGAAATAAAGCGATTTTGCATTTGGATTGATTCTGGCCTTTGCAGCCTGTTTTCTACCCCGCTTTGAGATGGATTGGCTTGGGAGCTGAGGGGGGGGGGAGTAGAGACATTGATTTAGAAATAAGGAACCTGAAGCCGGATTAGAACAAAAAAAATGGCTTTGACTTTACCTTTGGAGAGTGGGCATTTGTTTCATGCATAGACTTCAGAGAGTGGCAACATTGGGGCAACATTGATTTCCTGTTTGGCTCTGCTCAGCAAATGCGAAGATTGGGTTGTTTTCTGGACGACAGCACAAAAACAGAGCGAGCACCTTTACCATAGCGCCAAATCATCTTGATCATAGCGAGGGCCTGATTGCATCGCTTGGTTTTCCGCCACTGCTCCCTCCCATTATCTCATACAGCAATCTTTCTCATCCACGCCATATCTCTCTCTCTGTGCTCCCTTCCTTCCTTTTTTTTCATTTTCATTTGAAGGAATGGGCTTCTCTTGGCGCTCAAAAGCGTTGTTGACTGCTTGGTTGGTTTGGCACATTGTTCAAGCGGCCAATAGGTAAACACGCTCTATCAAAAGGCTGGATCTGCTCGTAGACAAACAAAACACAAATACAAGAAGAGCAGCAATTTGGTTATCTGGAGGCGGACCATCTTTGGCGACTACAAACGCAAGAATAGATTTGCGATCTCATTTTTTCCGACAGACACCAGCCGAGCTCAAAATGGAAGTGTTCGAGTTTGATGCACTTTGTTATTAAACGTGTGTAGAATGGGAGCAGACTTTGGGGCTACAATTGGATGTGTCTGTGCGCACAGTTTGAATGTGTGTGTGCGTGGTATAGGAAGTGCGTGTTCTGCCTCTATGTAGGGTGCATTATTGGACGCAGTAGACCGGACAGTGCCAGAGGCGTACAGGCGAGCGGTCACGCGGCGCCACAGAGAAGAGAGCCGCGCTGCTGTCAGAAGGCCTTTTTAACACACTGATGCGCTCTGCTCCGCCACGTTTTGGGAGCGACTGACTGCAATAGGGTCTGAAGTAAAAGAAGAGATAAAAAACAATTCCTCTAAACTCTCTGCGAAACAGCTAAAGGCCCACAGGCTTCCTACCTGAAAATACCAAACTAATGTGTTTGATGTTCCCTCAGAGATGTGCAGCAGCGGGAGGGGAGGGACAACAAAATGACAACAGCTCTGGCTCTGTGTGAACTCTCATGTTTAATGAACACTGTGTCTGCCGTCGCTGACACAAATGGGTCAAAGGTGCAGCGTTTGTAGTCAATTCGACTCCAAGTTTTTTTGTATAAATAATACTTTGAGTGCTACACCTTTTACCTGAGTTTAGTTCTATCATTCGCACTGAAAAAAAGGTTTGGATTTAGACTCTATACACATTTTGTAGAAAGAGTTTTGCGTGTGAACAAATGAAGGTAGGTGAAAATCAGTCTGTTGGTTTTGCTGCTGTGTCTTGTTTGTCAGTTTACATTTCCAGCCTTGTGACTTATACACAAATAAATAGATAACACATTCCAACACTCATCTTTCCACTGTCCTTACATTTTCTTAAATTTCCTCCCGGTCTTTCTCTCCCTCTGGCCTTCTTTAACACATCCTTGCTACTTCATTCTATAAGTCGTCTCACACGTCACCTGTTTGTCAGAGGTGGGGTCCACACCAGGCCCTCCTCTTGGATAACACAATATCCAAGAGTATAATATTTATTTATTTACAATTTAGCTGTAAACATCTAATACTCAAATGACCCGTTTGGTTAGTTGTCATACCCGGAAACATTCTACTTTTAGCTTAACTGCCTAATGCTGATTTATTTATAGGGACTAGAGAATAAGGAGGGTGGCATTAGATTCTCTCTCTCTGGAAGGTAGGATAAAATGTCAAACAGTAAAAGTGTTGATGGGCGAGTAATAAGCTCCTCAGGAAGTCTTTGGCTTGGGGAGGCATGAGCGACTGGCAGGGATTGGGATCTTGGCCGCAGCAGGTTCTCGGAGCTTGCTGTGGCTGAGCGGCTCAGGACTGTACTCTGTCCTCGCTAAATCCCTGTAAGGCTGAAGCACTGGAGCGCGACACTCACTTGGGGCTTGCACCTGGGGTCCGGTGTTAAAGCATGGCAGGCCTCTGGATGGAGGGGGGAGCAGCTGCTTGCTCCGCAGAGGATGTCCCGCAGGTGCCCCTGGCTTTAGTGCGGGGAGGGACAGGCGCGAGTGGAGGCGAGGGGGCTGCATGACACGAGGACATATCAGAGCACTGGGTCCTGCCTTGTCAGAGGCCGGGGGCTCACATGGAGGCTCTGATCCTCCACCGTCACCACCAGCCGCTTCCCGCACGGCGCCTGAGCACTGAAGCTGAGCACTGAGCCGATGACTGAGCAGCGTGTGGTCATCTGTGCGTCCAAGCCGTGGAGGAGCACACGTCTGGTCACTGCGGCCCGCGGTGGAGGCTGCTCTTGTTAGTTTTGCCTGGGACTGCTGCTCTCTGAGGCGGGGGCTGAAAGGCTGTAGTATTTGAGGCTGCAAACAGAGAAATTAGATGCTTAATTAGCTTTTACAAAAAGTAATGAGAACTGGGGCATGATGAGGGACAAGCAGGACCTTTCATGTTCTACAAATAAAGGCTTCCAGTCATGTGTATCTCCCTTCATATGCCAGTGGGCTCTATCAAAGACAATTAGAAGTAATTGTGCTCAGTACTAATGTTATTTTCATTCTATTTCTGAACTTGTTTTGCTTCTGAGAATGCACCTGTGCATTGCTCTGCACACAGACAGTACTGCTCGCCACACAAATGTTACTGTTATTAAATATTTGTGGAGTTGAAGACTTCTCAGTATCCATTACATCAAAACAATGCGCTCAGAAGAGGTGAATACGCCCGATACAGCCACAGCTCAGACTCATTAGAGGCTCTACCCTGGACTGTGGATTGGATTGTAAAAGAGCTCATCCACCATTCTCTCCACTGCTGAATCGACTCAATGTTCATTTGTAGCAGCTGAAGACGCTCTATAATTCAGCTCCCCATTTCCAGCTCTGACATCAGGGAATTTAGACAGCACTACCTGAAGTAAAGGCCAAAATTACAATATTATTCAGATGAACTAACAATGTACAGCTATCATTCCTTTTGGATAACAAAACTATCTTATATACATTTCAACACCAGTGAAATATTGAATTCATTCAATCCCACCGTGAGGCATCCAACTAATACATGACCTGCCCCTATAGTTTCTGAGGCTGCTACAGGCTTCTAACCTGAGCAATGTTTAAGACCACAGCTCCCCCCTCTGGATGATTTTTGCTTAGTGGCCACAAAATCACATTAAGAATGAGTGTTTCTCAAATGATTGTCACAAAACAGACTGCTTTCAGAATTTTTCATTTGGAATATTAGTCTTTTTGATTGAATCGGTGACTAGGCACTTTCCACTGCCTGCTGAAGCAAATCCAATAAAGCACAGGTAAAGTATGAGGCATTAGCAATTTAATTATTATGTTTATTATTGTTTCCCTGTGGTTCAAGAAGGTCCACTGTCCATTTACCGCCTACAACACAGACATACATGCACGGCTATATTCAATAATGCGTCTTTGTTTATAACCAACGTCCCTTAAATACTGTAAGTAGCTGAAGTGGCTTTCACCAGAGACGGTATAGTTTCTATCGGCTCACTACCTTCATTTGCACTCAACAGCTGTCTACGGCACACACTAATAATTAGACACAAGCTCTTTACTGGCAAGAACTAAATACCTCAGCTGCTAATGATGGCTGTTTTCAAGCCAAGTGTGAATCACCAGCCTGGTCTACAACACAAAGCACTTCTGCACCTGGACGTCTACAGGGAGATCGGGCCATGAAGCGCTCTTGATAAACACGAGTGCAAACCTGAGATCGATACCAGGAGGAGGGACTGGAATTTTGTTCTTCTTATGCAATGTACAAACTTAAACACATGTATTTGATCTTATGTTAACACCCAAACAGAAGTAATTGCATAAAAAAGAAGGAAAAGTGTTTGAATTTGTGTTTGAATGTCCACTGGTGGCTTTCCTTAAGTTTTATCGGAGTATAACTAAAATTTCTGCATGGTGGTGGTGGTGGTCAGAGGGTCCAATGGCACAGATTATTAGCCTTGCTTACGTCAGTCATGGCAGCTGTGGCTACAGTAGTAGTTTATTACTTTCTCTACGTTTGACTTGTTTGCACCGAGAGCCAAAGCAATTTCCTAGTCTGTGACTTCCTGTTACTTACATGGCAATAAAAAGGAATCTGATTCTGATTATTACCACCGTATACAGTATATAGAGTGAATGATTAGAACTGTTATTATATATTCACCCCTCCAACTGTTTGGTGAATGTGTAGACTCAAACATAATATGAAATAACAGCACAATCAAACCATGATGTTGTATACATATAAAGTATACTGTACATTTTAAATACCCACTATTTTGACTAGAAGCATTTAGAGGCTGTAAGAAATCACACACATGAAGGGAATATCTGTGCATGCATTATAGTAAAAATATGTTCTTGAACATGAGAAATGTATGGAACAGAAGAGCGACACTCATTTCCCACATTCAAAAACAGGTAAATGAAATCTGTGCAAGAAAAACTAATAATGAGCTGAATCCTAATTAAAACAGCCGAGCAGTGGCCTCAAACTGTCAGCTGCTTCAGATGAACAGAGAAAGCCTTTGAGCCTGAATACTATGTCAAAAACTTAAAAGTATGAAAAAATGAACGAGTCATGCAAATGGAAGAGGACGTGCTGGTGTCACAACAGATCAGGCCCAGGCACAACACAGCGTGCAGACGGAGAGAGGGCGTCTGTCGGCTGCATGTCAAAGGAAAGGTTACTGTACCACGCGTTGTCAGTGAAGAACTGCACTAGACACTCCACTTCTCGGGTTAGGCACAAAAACAAGAGAGAAATAGTGGATTTATTTCACGTTTTAGATGAGACAGGAGTTCAAATACCATGGAACTTTGAATCAAAAATCGGGTCCAAGATTAATCGGCCTTCAGTCGTAGCTGTGAGTTCCAGCTTTTTGGAACAAGTCATTGGCTCTTGTTTGTTTCTATCCAGTACAATGAGACTCAGAGCGTCATTAATAAACCTTTGATTTAATAATGAAGCCAGGTTGTTTTGATTTAAGTCACGAGATTTACATTTTCACATGTTCTTCTTGCTGGGGTTAGGCGACATGCCGAGATGTTTATTTCAGAACGTACAAACATACATGGAAGCAGTAAACTCCTTTCAGTCTGTATAAAATATATAAAAATATGTTGACCAAAGAAGAAATAAACCAAGTAAACAACCTTATATGAAGAAAAGCGCATCCTGAAGCCTGAATATTTACCCTTGGAATCAATTGAAAAACACACATTATTTCCTGTGTGTTATTTTTTTCCCTCCGAGTCACAGCTGTATATTTGCTGTATCTCATTTGTACACTGAGATTCTGTTGAACTGTTTCCATGAAAGTCAAAGCTCTGTCATCCTGAAAAGGTAAAATTATTATCCAGCCAAAGGGTATTGTGATAGTTTGTGTGTGTATGTGTAAACTTTGTCTACATGGGATGCAATAGTAAAAAGAACCTGAGGTCTTGGCTGGGTCCGGTCTAGTTTTGATACTTTAATCCCTTGTTCCCAAGAGTGTCTTTTCCAATAAAATGAGATTATTTCTATAGAATATATCAACAGAAACATCTAAAATGGTTCCTATTGCAAGCTTTACTCCTTGGTAATAATCAATATACCAAGGCGTCAAAGAGATAATGCTGTGATTTTCATAACTCTTTGAAATATACTTGAGGGATTTTGTCAAAATGCGATAAAGAAAACGCTTTAGGCTGTGGAATAAAGTGTTAGGAGGCAGACAAAGAGGTTAGTACACACTGATAGTTTATGCTCTCACACATGAGGCTACACTGGCTGCAGATAGGGTTAATGACTCACTGTGTCTGCGCGGGGGCATGCTGGGGCGGGACTGGCCCTGGTGCTGTGCCTGTGCCTGCCATGGGGACAGCATGGGGCTGGGCAGCACACCCTACGCAGAGGAAAGACACAGGACAAAGGCATGATGGACAGAAAACACATAACATGCGTCCATCCGAGTGGGCTGGCTGGTCATCTGATCATCACTCCTGGAATTTCGGCCCAAAAAAGACAATCCTACAACTGTTCTGAACATAAATCAGGTCTTAGATAGAAAAATGATACTACATTTTAATCTTGTTCTAAATGAGGATTTTTTTGCCCCCAGCAGAGGACCCCGGACCTCATACTCCCGGAGAACCCCCCTGACGGACACCCCGGGGAACACGGTCGAACACCTTCTCCAGATCCACAAAGCATATGTGGACTGGTTGGGCAAACTCCCATTATTACACGAGTATCCAATTGAGAGTATAGAGCTGGTCCAGTGTTCTGGACCGGCATATATAATAATTATAAGATCTAATCAGGAAGCAGAGGCGGGTTTAACTGAAAAAATGCCTTTCACTTTTTAAAATGTAATTGATTGTCACTTCAAACACAAAAACATGAACACAGTGCATATTGGTGTTCTGACCAGCAATAGGCAGAATTAACATTTGGGTTACCAGTTTCAATAGTCCAGTTGGGTATGATAATCACAAACAAATCAGCCTTATATAGCAGTTGTTTATCTTGGCGTCCTTGTCCTCTGTGTGTCTCGTCTCAAATCCATCATCACTTTATGATTCATCTTCAATGCTACTATGAAAATTTACTTCAGATTCAGATTCATTTATTTGCCATTTGCAGTAAAACCACATTGGAAAAACTGTGCAAGACTACCCCGGTGTGCGCCAGACAGAGAAGGCGACACACACCAGAGCTCTTGCCACGGCGCCATCTTTCCGGTGTAACGCCGAGATACACTTCCTTGAAGAGATGCACTTCCCCAGCTGTTTATGATGTAATGCAAAACTGCGCATGCGCGTCTCACGGCAACCGAAGCATACCAAGATGGCGGACCGTGAATTGCTTTAAAAGTTGAAATACGAACGAATTAAGACACGAATGTCACTTTTAATGCAATTTGAGGCGAGATGTTGATGGTTCCGTTTTGTCACATGTGGGTTTTAAGAGTCAAAGTTTTGTGCAAAGTTTAGTTTAAGCAGTCAACTGCGCCTGTGAAACCACAAAGCTAATGTTTTCATAGCAGTCCGCGGCTGCTGACGTAGGCTGATGACGCGTCCTGTGGCAACTCTACAGCTTACAACTGGTCTGTCGGGTTGATAATGGAAATAATAAATTTCATTCAATACATGTATCGTACTGTATTTAATATGATTAACAATAGTGTGTTCAAACAAAATATTTAATTAGATTGATTTTTTTCCCCATTTTCCATTATCAACCCGACAGACCAGTGTAGAGTGGCCACAGGACGCGTCATCAGCCTACGTCAGCAGCCGCGGACTGCTATGAAAACATTAGCTTTGTGGTTTCACAGGCGCAGTTGACT